CGGGATGAACACAAGGGCTCCGGGAGCTGCCCGAAGCTGCTCCAGCAGCGCCCGGCCGGGGCAGGCTCCGAGGGGCGGCTGCAGGATGCGGGATCACCGGGACCAGCCCGGGCATCGCCCCCGGCCGGGGCAGGCTCCGAGGGGCGGCTGCAGGATGCGGGATCACCGGGACCAGCCCGGGCATCGCCCCCGGCCGGGGCAGGCTCCGAGGGGCGGCTGCAGGATGCGGGATCACCGGGACCAGCCCGGGCATCGCCCCCGGCCGGGGCAGGCTCCGAGGGGCGGCTGCAGGATGCGGGATCACCGGGACCAGCCCGGGCATCGCCCCCGGCCGTGCCCACCCCGCCTGGGGCTCTCGCTCCCGGTGTGCGACCCCACGGCTGCCAACACACGGCCTCAGATGAAAATGGGGATTGTTTTAAGCGGCTTCTGGCTCGTTTCCATGGGCCGGTGCCTCGGGTGAGGAGCAGGGGAGGCTGCAGGGTCCCCGCGTGTTCCCGGAGCTGCCCCTCTGCCAAGGGAACGCTTCGGCCAGCAGTGTGCAGAGCGTGGAAGCTTAACCTGGCCTGGCCAGGGCTGCCTGCGCTCTCACCCTGCGGCTCCTCCGCTCGGAAGCTCCGAGGGGCTCCCGGAGCCCTCTCAGCCCCACATCCAGCAATACCCGCGGCCACGGGGCACAGTGACCACGGCTCCCTCCCACCCTGCACGTCCCCAAACGCTGCTGTCCCCCTGCAGCCGCGTCTCAGCCCCCAGCCCCAGCCTGGTGCCTCCTCCCAGTGCCACCGTGCTTGCTGTGACACACGGCACTGACACCCACGGGGCTCCTCCTGACCCGGCTAACCCTGAGCACACGCTTCCACAGCCACGCTGCTCCCCTGGGACACCTCACCATGAGCTAGAGAACGGGAAACTTGTGTTTAAAAGTTGATTTTGGTGCAAGTAGGATAAACACAGGCGCCTGCACCTGACCCCCTTACAAAACACCATCTGCATTGTGGCAGAATCAAAAAAGGGATGGGTGGGAAAAGTGATTGAGACTAAATACTAAATGATGATGAAAGTCACTGGGCTGCACCATTAAAGCCTTGTACATCAGCAGAAAAACTAATTCAGCATCAGGACACAGACAGGAGCCCTGGACCACTCGCCTCGTGTCAGCGAGGGGAGGCACAGCAAAGCAAAAAGCAGCAGATGGCTTCACAGATTCTCATGTATATTTACACACAGTTTTTTTAGTAAACCACTTTGATTCAGGAGAAACCACATCCAAAATGCACTCTTGAAATCCCTCTTCAGACACAATTTCATAGAGAGATAAATCATGCTGTGGTTTCCCCCCTCTCTCATGTAACACAACTGTGGGCAATGCTAATAGCACTAAGTGTGCCCTGTATTTCCTCCTGCTCAGCCCCAGTGCCCAAGTACAACAAATCTCTAAGCATTTTTTAGGTATTTGGGTTGAAACATTCCCACTGGCTTCACTGACAGGTTTTCATCACTTGGTATAAAAAATAAATTTTAAATTTTGATTATTTTTTTTAAAGGAGGGAGATGTCAGTAAAACTTGCTTGGCTGTTTCCCAGAATGACAGCATAATTCCTGCCCAAATAACAAATGAGCCTCATGACCTCTGTGCCTCCTCTCACTCTCCAACTCCCTGGCAGGAGGGGACAGCCGGGGGGATTTGGGATCTGCTCCCAGGAACAGGGACAGGAGGAGAGGGAACGGGCTCAGGCTGGGCCAGGGCAGCTCAGGGGGGACAGCAGCAGGAATTTCCCCATGGAAAGGGAGCTCAGGCCTTGGCAGTGCCCAGGGAGGGTTGCAGTGCCCATCCCTGGAGGTGTCCCAGGAATTGCTGGAGGTGGCACTCAGGGCTCTGGGCTGGGGACACGGTGGGGATACACGGTGGGGATCCCCTGGTGGGCACAGCTTGAACTTGATGATCCTGGAGGCTTTTTCCAACCCAAATGATTCTGTGAGACACCCCAGTGCCCCGTGCCCTGCACAGACACACGTCTCAGCCAGCAGACAGGCAGTGACCACCCTTCTGCAGGGCTGGAGAACAAATCCACTCCTAGAGTGAGGAGTTGTTAAAAGACACTTTCAGGTATAAATAAGAAACCCTGAAAAGTCACTGCAGACAAGGGTGTGTTTTTCCTGATGGAAAACAGCCCACGGTGCTAATGCAGAACCCACTGCAAATCACTTCAGCTCACTGAGCCCACCTTACCCCAGCGCACCATAACTCCGAGTGCTCCACCCTGCAGCCCTTCTGTTCTTTTGCCTTGTTTTCTTCTTCCCATACTTTTCCCCTTACTTTGTTTTTCCTCCTTCCCCTCCGTTCATGAACTTCCTCTGTTCGTGAACAGAGTACAGGGTACAATGCACCTCACCAAAACCGAGCTCTCAGAAAGGCATCCCAGGGCAGTATGTCCATGTGGCCAGGCTGGAGCTCGCTCCCAGCTGATGGATGTGCAGCTTGCCAGGCTTTCTGTGGGACTGGAACCAGCTGGAGCAGCTACCACAGCCAGAGAAACCCATCTCCCCTATCCCAGGGCTCCCTGGAAGCACACAGGCACTGTTCTTCCACAGCTTTCCTCTTAGTTGAACCCAAGTTCGGAGACACCCAGAGATATCTCGCAGGCTGTGTGTGCAAGCAGGGAGCAGCACAGTGCACACACTGCAGCCAGGCAGGGCACCCCAGGGGATGGATGTGCTGGGACACCTGGCCTGCTCCTGGCTCCACAGCCACGGGGGAAACTGGGGATGGGGCACCCAGGAAGGGAAGCAAGGAGGGAGCAGCACAGCTGTCCCTTGGGCATGGCTCCCCAGAGCTCAGCTCCACACTGCCCTGGCTGGACCAGGAGCCAGCCCCACATCACAGCTGAACCAGCACCAGCTTCCATCTCTGCCAAGGAACAGCCCAGCCCCAGCACTGACAGAAAAGATGCTGAAGAACTGGAGAGGGTTGAGAGAAGCTCTTTAGGATACACTCTGGAATACCAAGTTTACCCTTGGAATCACGGGCTCAGAGAGCTCAACCCACACGTCCCACCAAGGACAAGCTGCTGTGGCCCTCCCAGAGAGGAGTGTGACACAGGAGCTCCTGCATTTACACAGAGGAGATCCAACAGCAGCTGGGGCTGGACAGGTGCAGGCTGAGGAGAAACAGCAATTCTTAATGGAGGAGTAAACAGTGGATACCCCCTGGAGCCAGGTGTTTTACACCAAGAGAGAGCAAACACATCACTGCTCACCCCCAGGACATCCCCCACGCGCTGGCTCAGCCATAGTGGCGTGACAGGAACCACTGAAGTCCCAAAACCAGCCCCCAGGAACTCAGGGACAAAGGCTGTAAGGTCTGCAACGATTCCGAGTCGGATTTATCTGAGGGAAAATACTACTTGTGTTACTACTGACTACAATAAACGTCAACCTTCTATTTACGTACACCCTGACAAAATTAACAGGGATTATCTGCTGGATTTCAGCAGTCAGGCTCATCCTTGTGCAGACATCCATTGCAAGGAACCACATATGGGCAAAATTTCACATACCAAACAGTCTTTTCCTTTTTGTATTTTTAATTGCTTTCTCATTAAATTGTTGTCACTAGTAACTCTTCCACATTATATCACACACAAACCCAAGTATCAACTGGCTGCTTTATCTAAGGAAGTTATTGGGATGTCTTAAGAGATCACCATAGCAACCGTGCCATGACAGTAAATATGAGTTCACTGGAACAACACTGTAGTTGCTCTGAGCACACTCAAACAAGGAATTATGGAAAAGCAGGAGATATCAAGGAAGCAATGTGCCAATAATTGGGACATAGCAAAAGCGCTGCTAGAAAGTACCTGAAGAGGTGTTCCCAGGCTCCTGTCAGCAGCCATTCAGCTGCAGAGCTCACTCGCCCTGGTTGGTTGCACACAGGCTCAGGGCAGAATTAAAAGTCTTTCAGAAAGAAATTTTGCTTTCAAAATGAAATTGCAGCAAAGCCTCCGAATTAAGTGTCTTTACTAGGCTTGCTCAGTGTGAACTGCTAATAAAAACGTGTTGGAGAAATAAACCAGCTCTTGTACCAAGAAAAGTTTGCCTGATTTAACCCCTGTCAGCTGCCAGAGCAGCACAGACAGGTGAGGTCCCTTCACCAAGGGAATTCCAGCAGACCCCGACCCCGCACTCAGACTCTAACACATCTAACTCCAGCTTTATCCACTGCAAAATTCCGGCAGCCCCCACACAGAGAGTTTTGAGTGTGCTCAGTTGGTGCCACAGGGCCAACGCAGCATCCAGGACTGCCCCGATGGCTCTCCTGACTCTTCCCCCACCCACTGTCAAAGTTTCCTTCCTTTGCTCCTCTGAAATTTCACCCTGCACCCGAGATATCTAACGCAACTGTGGTATTTCACGGTGTATTTCTAAAAAAAACCCAGCTTGTATTTTAGGAATAACCCCAAAGCAGCTTTCTGCAGGGACAGCAGCACTCGGGTGTTGATGTGTTGGGTGTTCCTTGGTACAGGCGGGGCTGTCCGTGCACAGCCCGAAACTTCGCTGCAGAGCTGTCCCCTCGCCCCCCCTTCTCAGCCCCCCTTGCTTTAACGCCCCGTGTCCGTGGGGTGTCCGTGGGCAGAGTCCCTGCGTCCTGCGGGGAGGCAGCGCCCGGCCGGACCCCGCACCCGGACACGGCCCCCGCCCGCAGCCCCCGCTGGGACCCCAGTGCCGGGCAGGGCAGCTGGGCACCGCGGGATGGGCACCGCGGGATGGGCACCCGGGATGGGCACCCGGGATGGGCACCCCGGGATGGGCACCGCGGCAACTGCACCGCGGAACTGCATCGCCGGGGCAAAGCAGGGCAGGGCACAGTGCCCCGGAGCTGGCCATCCCGGAGAGGGCAGTGCACAGTGCCCCGGAGCTGGCCATCCCGGGCAGGGCAGGGCACGGCAGAGCATCCCAGGGCAGGGCGGGCACCCCGGAGCATCTCGGTCCGCACTCACCGTCCTCCCGCTCGTCGAAGACGGGTCTCTTGGAGGAGGAGGCGCTCGCTCCCATCCTCTTCTTCCACTTGCTCCAGTGAAACATCGGGGCAGGCGGCTGGCATGCCCTGCGGCCTCTCCCCGCCGGCCCGGCGGCTCCCGC